AATTTTTCATGCCATTTGTGTGCGGACTTACTACCGAAGTTCGCCGCAATAGAAACCTATACTTTTTTATTGAATATTCTGTAATAATATCAACATAGTCTACTAAATGGAAACATCTAAAAGGATCCTAACCCCAATGTCATATAGGAAACAAATTGTCACTTATGATTTGGGCTGCAAACGTCATTTTTGACAAAAAAATTAAAATGTCAAAAACGCGTAGTTTATTTAGGTATAAAACATTATACATAATAGGTATAAGTATACAAATTTACGTGGAATTGTAATGAGCTACCTTTTAAAAAAAAGTAATTTTTTTTACTTCCTACAGTAGGAGGGTTTAATGGTTTACTTTTTATATAATAAGGTATCATCATTTCAACTCGAAGATGACTAATTGCTGACACTTTGAATTTCAGTACTCTAGCTAGAAGAAGGTTCTGATTTATTTTTTTCACAGATTCCATTTGACCTAAAAACACTTAAACTACTCAATGTAATGTATGCTAATTTTCAAAACTGTTTTTATTAAAAGCTTCTGTTTCAAACTCTATTCAAGACCACCGCCGCACTCGCTCAAGTTACATCAATTATAAATTAATCTGGATAATTATATGCTTATTTAATGTGTAATGCGTTACATTACGATAGAGCGAGATTAGGAGTTCGGTTAGAAATCATTCATTATACACTGTAATTGAAAGTGTTCGGGATTACGGCCCGGCTTAAACAGAATGAGCGCGCACGACTAATCAAAATTAATGAACTTATTTACATGAATGAAATCCATTGCAACAGCGGCGCTCAGTTTTCATTCCTGTTCTCGCAAAGTTTTCAAAGAAGATCGTATATCCCCCTTTATCGTCTGCCATTAGTTGAAATAAATCAATTCAAAAATGTAGCAAATTGAGCGACCGTAATAATACTAATAGAACAATTTATAAACCCTTGGATCGATTGAACGAAATTAGGTCACAACAGAAACAATTTATTGAACAATTCCAATATACCGCCTCTTTCAGTGAAATCAGTTCGGCGGCGTTTACTAAGATGAAAGAGAAGTACCAAATTTGTTCATGCCC